CAGCAATCACGAGGCAGATGCAGAGGCAGGTGGATTTCTGTGAGTTCGAGGCCAGCCTGGTCTACAGAATGAGTTCCAGGATAGGCAACGCAATACAGAGAAATACTGTCTTTAAAAACCAAAAGGTTGGGGGGTGTTCTGACTAGCACTCAAGAGGCTGGAACGGGAACATAAAGAGTTCAAGGTCAGCTACAACTACATTGAAAAGTGGGCGGTGGGAGGGGCATTTCTGAGGTTCTCTTGTGGCTTATTGAGAAAGGGATTGTAAATAGGGATTCTTCATTTGGCATATTGTATGGAAGGGACCTGAGTGCCTTTGTCAAGGAGGATCTCAGTCCATGGTAGTCAAGAGAAGATTGAGGTAGCCAGAACCTATCAAAGGGCAAGTCTGGCAGTGGCAGCCACTTGTCAGGGAATGCCTAGGTTTGCATTGGCAGTCTCCCAGGCCTTGAATCTTACAATACTACATGTCCCTAAGTCGGTGGGTACCCAGGTGGGCAGCAAAGTTTGGTGTAGGTAGTGGTATCCACCGGACGTTCATAGAAGCTGGGAGACTTAATAGGAGGAGTCTAGGCCCGAGCTGCCTGCTCTACTCCCACAGACTACTGCCAGAACTTCGCCCCCAACTTCAAGGAGAGCGAGATGAACGCCATTGCAGCTGACATGTGCACCAATGCCCGCCGAGTGGTACGTAAAAGCTGGCTGCCCAAGACCAAGCCACTGCACCTGGTGGAGGGTGATAGCTACAGCAGCTTCATCAACGACACTGGCAAGATAGAGCCGGACATGATGAGCATGGAACACAGCTTCGAGACAGCCAGCCACGATGGCGAGGCCGGCCCTTCGGCTGAGGTTCTCCAGTAACATATGTGTGACATCCCTCCCCTTCCAGGATGTCACACACCCCTTCCTATCACATACCCCCACCTACCACCTGGTCACGATCTACTGTCTGTCCCTCCTCAGGATCTGTGAGGAGGTACTCCATGCCCTCTAGCAGGATGCCGTAGCTGGCTGACCAAAGCCACCACACCTAGCAGAGGGCAGCACCTACAGCAGCTTTCTCAGTGACAGTGAGAAAGAGCTGAACATGATGGGCATAGAATACAGCTTCCAGACAGACAGACAGCCCCCTCAGAGGAGGTCCTCCAGTAGCCGCCTAGGACCCTCCCATGGATGTCACACTCCCCCTCCTGTCACACACATACCCCCACCACCTTAGTCACGAGCTACTGTCTGTCGTCCCCGGAACCTGCAGGGGGTGCTGCATGCTCCCAGCCTCTCTGCCTCCCTGTCATCCCACACCTTTTCCCCAAAGCAAACTGGGCTGGGTCAAGAGAGGACAGGCATCAGGTGGGATCTGTGACCTTCCTCAACACTCATGGGGAGCCCTGGTTCCCCTTCCTCTTAGGCATTTCCCAGCACCAGGCCCGGCTAGGGGATGGGCAGAGCTCAAGAAGAGCCTGCCCCTCACTGTGTCTGCTTGGGACTCCATGGGCCCAGGGGTTCTCAGGACCCCTCCCACCACCACCCCCAGTGCTTCCATGTCTCCAAAAGCGCCTTCCTGTCCCTCTCGTCTGTCCCTGCACCTTGGGGCTGGGGTAGGTGAGGCCAAGAGGGACTGTCTACTTTGCAGATGAGGAAACAAGCCCAAAGGGCTTAGAGAAATTCTTAAAACTGACCCTCTGTAGCAGCCTCCATCATACCCCTCTTAATCCCACCCTGCTCTGCCTCTGTGGGTTCCCTCAGCCCAAGAGGCTGGTTCTAAGAGAGCAGTGCTCCTGTGGGCAGACGAGAGTCTCAGGACAGGTTTCCAGTCTGGCAGAATTTGTGGGTGTGCGTGCGTGCATGCGTGTGTGCGTGCGTAGAGTGTTTGCTTTTAAAAACATGAAGATCATGAGGCAGCAAGACCAGGGTCGGAACCAGGGAGCAGGCTGGGAGGCTGTTGCCCTTCTCCCATCCGACCCTGGGCAGGGCTCCCAGCCCCCACCCCCTGTACATAACTTTTTGAAACATTTTTTTAGCGAATGAAATAATGAAGTATAAGATTTCCTTTTATTTTTCAAATCAATGGGAATGTGTCTGAGGTCCCCTGGGTCCCTGGGCTGTGGAAGGCAGGATGCAGGGAAAACTGAATGTGTGTGTGTGTGGAATGTGGGTGCATGTTTCCACAGGGGCCCGTTCCCAGTGCCCCAGGACTCCTGTGGATCCAACCAGCTTCCTCTCCCCCAGGACTACAGTTTAAGGGTGTTCACAGGTCCCAGTTGGCTGAGCCCACTCCTGGGGGATGAGGCAGGGGTAGGGTCCACATCCATTGTTGGCGGTTTGTGGAGCTTTCTCTGGCCGTTCCTTTCCACTCTTAACTCTCCAGGAGCAAGCTCTTGGGTTTCTGAGTTTAATATGTGAGCACAGGGTTTCTGTTACTCCTTCCCTTCATTAATGTCATTTCACCATCTCACTGGTTCTGTTCTAGCCCTGACCTCCTTCCCTCTCCCCAACTCTGCATTCTAGCTGCCTCTTCAGAGGCAAGGAGTTGCAGGAATGGAGAAGGTGGGATGGAGCCTTTTGAGTCAGATCTGGAGACCTGCCTCCAGGCCAGCAGCACCCTCTAATCTGCCAGGGTCCCTCTTAACATCTGATAGTGAGGGTGGGGTGTTGGGTCTGATTTGGCCCCCAGTACCTTAGCCCTGGGTGACCAAGTGGAGGGGAGTTGACACCCCTAGCTAAAGCACAAGCACCTTAGTCATAACCCCTCCCTCTATACCCTTGTCCTGGCCTGTTGTCCCACCTCCCCCAGCGAAGATCCCAAAGCACAATCTCCTGGAAACTTGGCAAGCAGCTGAGCCTGGCCATGGTGAGGGCAGGCTGTGCTCCCTGCCCAGACTTAGTAAGGGGGCAGCTCCATGGGACTGAGAGGTCTTGTAGAGTGGGCAGCAGAGCCCATTGGTTCCAAGCACCTCAGGAGGTGGCCCTGACTCCCGGGGCTTGGGGTGGGGGAGGTATAAAGCCAGGGGTGCAGGGGAGAAAACTACTCACTAGGAGAGCCAAAGACAGGGTTGTGCCTTACCTCAGGAGCCACCCCTGCGCCCCTCCTCTGGCGGTCAGCTGCTTGCTCTGCCCTCCTGAGAGCTGCATGCTCCCACCCCAAGCACCCAGGAGAGTGAAAAAGTAACCCACCTAGCAGGAAAGACAACTAGGGGCAAACCCAGTGGCTACCCTCCCACCCATCCACGCCTCTCATGGGGACAGCCATCACCCACTGGCCCATGTGAAGTGCCAATGTCCTTCCCACCCGGAGCCAAGCCCCTACCCTTCCCAGGCCCACAAGTGAGATTGCACATTAACTACTGTACGGAGAGGAGCGGTGTTGGGAAATGTGAACCCTGAGAGTCAGTGATGCTGATAAGAATAAACAAGACGCCTTTGTAACAGCCCTGCTGTGCTCTGCTCACTGGCGGGGGACGTGCTGGCCACCCATCCACGTAAACACCTGGCTTCTGGCAGTCTACCATATGTTGAGATCCTTGTGCTGCCACCAAACTATAGTCTGGCCTGAGATCACAAGTGTAACTGGAAAATAGACAGGAGCGTGCAGAAGACACTGGGTCCCAGGGCCCAAGACAGGTCCCAAGAACAAAGAAGAATGGGGAAACAGTGGTGACTCATACCCAGGGGGATTGAAAACCAGAGGATTGGGAGTTTAGTTACATGGCAAGAGTCTCTAAAGAGGCAGTTGGGGGTTTAGTGCTCAAGTCTCCTCAGGTCAATGGCCTTCACTGTGCCTTCAGACTAGCCCACACCCACACCTGTCCATGAGGAGTGTACCTGTGGAGGTACATTCTTGTGAAGATAATTAAACAAGTTTTTTAATTCCCAGGAGCACCTGGGATTAGGAGGGTGGCTTGGTTTGTGGTGTATGAAATAGCTCCCTAACAGAGCTTAAGTTGGCCTATGACTTGTGACTCTTACCTTCTAATACCATGTTTCACTGAGACCAGGAGCTTATATTTTGGTGTGATGAAAAGAAAGTCCATAGTCTCTCAGAAAATAGTGTTTGAGGGGGCTAGAGAGAAGGCTCTTCCAAAGGACCTGGGTTCAACTCCCATCACCCACATGGCAGCTAACAACTATAACTCCCCAGACCTGACACCCACACACAGACATGCAGGCAAAACACCAACAATGCAAGTAAAGACTATATATAAAAAAAAAGCTGTGACAAGTGAGATGGTTCATCAGAAAAGGGCACTTGATATGCAAGCCTAGTGGCCTGTCTTGGGCCCCCAGAACCCATGCAGAGGTAGGAAAGAACTCACTTCACAAAGTCATCTGACCTCCACATGTCCCATGGGAACATGAGTCTGCACACTAACAAGAACAAAATCTTTTCCGTGTGAAATACAGGCACTTCAGTTCCCAACATACAGATACCTGAGTCCCTGAGAATAAGCAGGAAGCTTAGAAAAGCCACCCAAAAGACAATCCAAAACTTGAGTCAACACTATATGGTACATAGATTTATGCTAAATTTTATTTCTGTTGGCACGATTAGAAGGCGTGAAGGTGAGTGGCTTTGGGCAGAGCTTGTATAAGGTCTTCCCAAATCACCCTGAATCACCTTGATCACTTGAATCAAGACCAGTGGCAGAAGCTCAGATTTCAACCCAAGGCCTAAAGGTCCTACTAACTCTGGAAGAGATCCTTGGGTCAGCTTGTTCAGGTTCAGTCCAGAACATCCCAAATAAGAGAAAGGAGTAGAATCAGGACCAGGAAAACCACACCACAGGGGCATGTACTGTCTGAAGACAAGGGGGTCAGAAGTCAAGAGGATGGCACTAGTTGTTGCCTTCTACCCCCATTCCAGGCTTTACCCTACAAGAACTCACCACTCGTCACTTGGGGCATGTTAGCCATCTTTCTGAGGACCCAATCTATCAGAGACTCCTGTGGTCTAGATCACAAGTAAAGGTTTCTAAAATGCTGCTAATACCATGGTGGAATCAGCCCCTGTGCACCAGAGAAGCCAGAGGCATGTCCCCCAAGCCCTGGCCACACATACCCTGCTCATCCAACTCCTCCCCAACATGACCCGACGTGTTTCAGAGCCTGGATGCTCCCAGACACCATTTCCAGCTGTTGATCCTAGTGGTCCATGGTCACCTGAGTAGAGAGGAGCAGCAGCTAGGAAAGATGAGGGTTCCGCAGCCTTACCCTGCCACACCTCTCCAAGGCCCACAGCCCTGCTGGCTGGCTTGCTGTTGCAGATATCGAGAGGATTTCAGACTTCTGGGCAGCTGGCAGCACCAGGGTAGGTTTGTAGCAAATTGAGAGGACAGTGACAAAGACTGGGTGAGCTGCTCCCCAGACCTGCCCTAAATAGCCATGCCACTTGACATGCCTCAGTTTCCTCATTTGCTGGTTTGAGACAGGGTCTCACTATGTAGCTCTGGCTGGCTTGGAACTCAGAGATCTCTGTGTCTGCTTCCCAAAAGCAAGTGCCACCCAGTTTAAGAGAGTTCTAGTCTTTATTCCCCAAGAAGGAGATAAGGATGATTAAATTAACTCAAATGATACCTAGCACCGGGCAGTGGTGGCACAGGCCTCTAATCACTGCACTCAGGAGGTGGAGGCTGTTGGGTCTCTTGAATTCAAGGCCAGCCAGAACTACAGAAAAACCCTGTCTTGAGGGAAAAAAGAAAAAACTAGGACTCAACAACAGGAAATACTAATACACCTTGATTTCTCTCTGTCTTCATGACATTTATTTACCCTGTGTGCACGTCTACATACTCACTCGGGGCACTACGGCGCTAGCCCTTCTTTGTTAATTATTTTCACCATAGTCTAGGCAGGTCATCAACTTAAACATTTCTGCTTTGCCTTAGTATCCAAGAACCTGGGATTACAGATGCCTGCCATGTAGCCTAGTTTTGTTTTAATTCTGTGTATGTGTCCCCTGTGCGCATCCACACTTCATTTAGGTTTTGAGTTTTTAAGGTGGTGTCTCTTGTAACCCTAAACTCCTAGCTGAAGATGACCTTGAACTTCTGATCCTGCCTCTTTTCCCCCAGAGCTAAAACAGCCGCTTGTGGATCACCACACCCTCTGTGCAAAGAGCTAGCCTACGGTAAACAGCCTGAGGAAAGGGCTGCTGTGAGTTCAAGGCCAGCCTCCTTCAAGTCTTAAATCCTGAAGCCTTGAACCAGACTTGCTGCAGGAGGAGGTCTTTCTGGACTTTCCTGACCTTGTTGATAGGAAGCTGGATCTCTTTTTCCTTTTAATGTTCCAAGGCCCCTGTGCTAATCAGGTTCTAGCCCCTGAGACAGTAGGTCAATTGGCTAGTCCCTACTGGTTCTGAGACCTCACTGTGCTGTTGGTTCATTTAGTCAGCAGGCTGCAGGAGTACGCAGGTGGGGTGGAGAGTGTTTCCTGCTCCAACTTCACAGTGAGTTGGGGGGGGGGGGCAAGATATGAAAGGTCTTTGCTGTATTTTGTTTTTAGTTTTTTTCCCTTTCTTTGAGACAGGGTTTCTCTGTCTCAAACCCTGGCTGGCCTTGAACTCAGAGAAAAGTGTGTGCCACCAGGCCCGGCTGTTTTGCTTCACCCCAGAATAACTTAAGGAGAAATGTATAGGCACAGTGCTAGTAGACACATGCACACAGTAAAAAAAGGTTTACTGGTTGTATGTCTTAAGTCCCGGTGGCCTGGAACGTCTAAGCAAACAGATCTCTGACTTTGAAACCAACCAGAACCACATAGTTTGACCCCGTGTGTAACAGTTTAAAAAAAAAAAAAAAGTAAAATCCTATAGGGGTGGAAAAATGGCTGTGATTAAGAGGGCTTTCTATTTTACAGAGGGTCTGAGTTCCGTTCCCAGCACCCATGTCAAACAGCTTACAAACTCGTATAACTGCAACTCCGGGGGCTCAAATGCCTTATGTCCTTCATGGAAACCCACTGCATGTGTACATACACAAGAGACACACATGTACACGTAAGTTAGTTTAAAAAAACAAACCACAATCTCAGAAACCAAAAGACAAGGTCTGGGGCTTGTGCCAAGCCTGACCACCTGAGGTTAACCCCTGGGATCCACATGGTAGGAGAAAATCGGCTCTCCTAAGCTGTCTTCTGTGCCCCGTGATTCCACACTCAAAAGTATAAGCAAGTAAATGTAAAATATTAGATCTCTAGGCTTGATTGGCCTAGGGCTGCTGAGCTTCCTGTGCTCCCAGATTACAGGCATGAGCCAGCTCACCAAGACTACAATGAATTTTATTTTCTTTGAGATGGCGTTTTTCTGTGTAACCCTGGCCAGCCTGGAACTGGCTACATAGACCACAATAGCCTTGAACTAGCTGCAATCCTCCTGCCTCAGCAATCCTCCTGGATGCTGGAATTAGAGACAAACCACCATGCCCAGCTCACCATAAACTCTCCTCATCTCTAAACATCTCCCATGTGTTTCAACACAACAGATTAAAAGACAATGGGTTAAGTAAAATACATCATTTACTTCCAAACGTTTTAAGGTCCTGAGAGCTTAGGTGTAGACATCTATAAAGAGGCAGGTAGAGAACCAAAGAATGCACGGGGGCTGGACATTGACACAGAAGGGCAGGTACAGGGTCAGGCTGACAGAAAGTTAACACCTTGTGATACTTGGGCTGGATGAATCCACCGCCTCTTTATAATTCCTATCCATGAAGGCCAGTGCTGTTGGTCCTTCGTTTTCTGTGGATGAAGATAGCGTTAGAGTCTCCACACCCTGAAGCAAGCTAAATGTGGTGTTGCATGACTTAATACCAGCACTCATGAGGCAGAGGCAGATGGATCTCTTGTTGCATCCTGCCAGGTTACAGTGAAACCCTGTCTTAAAAACAGACAAGCCGGGCGGTGGTGGCGCACACCTTTAATCCCAGCACTCGGGAGGCAGAGGCAGGCGGATCTCTGTGAGTTCGAGACCAGCCTGGTCTACAAGAGCTAGTTCCAGGACAGGCTCCAAAGCCACAGAGAAACCCTGTCTCGAGGCTCCAAAGCCACAGAGAAACCCTGTCTCGAAAAACCAAAAAAAAATAAAAAATAAAAACAGACAAAACAGGGGCTGGAGAGATGGCTCAGTGGTTAAGAGCATTGCCTGCTCTTCCAAAGGTCCTGAGTTCAATTCCCAGCAACCACATGGTGGCTCACAACCATCTGGAATGAGGTCTGGTGCCCTCTTCTGGCCTTTAGGAATACACACAGACAGAACATTGTATACATAATAAATAAATAAATAAATATTTAAAAAAAAAAAAAAAAAAAAAAAAAAAAAAAAAAAAACAGACAAAACACACATCTCCCAACACACCCCACTAGGACATCATCTCACCTGTACTGTCTCCCGCTCCACACCATTCTTTCCTGCAGGTCTCCAGCTGGAAGCTTGAACTTGCCTTGATTGGCTTCACTATGTGTGAGCTAGAGACACATTAACTCCCTCGACATACCCCCGTTCTCCAGCCTTTAAACACTACTAGCTGTCCAGCTTCCTTAAAGGGCTGGCTCCCATCGCCCCCTACTGTGGCCAGAGGTTCTTTCTGCCTTACCACCACCCTTCTAAAGCCCCAGGATATCGTTTCTTCCAGGTCCTCGAGGTCCCATTCAGTGTTTCCAAGGCCATTCTGCAACTCGTTGGCGGTCCAATCAAGCCCCACTACAATGCTTCCCTGCCCGAGCTCACACCAACGCTGGTGCAGGGGGCCGTATTCACCGCTTTCTGCACCTCGCACGGCTCGGGACAGGGGTCCTTACACCAGTCCCCAAATAAACCGAGGCCCAAACGCCCAACAGCCCTCCCAATTTCCTTCCACTCCACAGGGAGGAGACCCGTGCACCAGGACGGCTATAACCGAACTGCCTGGCACACACTAGCCCGCGCCTTGCCACTGGCTAGGCTCGAAATTGCTCCCTTCCATCCCTTTCCCGCCACCGTCACTCACCCTCAGACCACAAAGGGTCCTGAGAGACATACCAACCCCCCTCCCCCCATTCAGCAGGTGCAAGAGCTCCTACACCGCTAGCGAGCGGAACACACCTCCACCCTTTCCATGGAAGGCCACCATAGAGAGCCCAGCCACCAAGAGGGAAAGAGCGTCCCTAGAGGGCCAAAGCGTGTCGACTTCCGCCTGCACCTCGGCCATCTTGGTTGTGGGCGTCCAGTACACAAGCCTTCATGCCCAATGACCTACAGAATTGGGTCGATCCTTAGACTGCTGCTGTGGAACCTCAGTTTTCTTTATAGCCATTATCAATAATCCTAGCTTTCCATAAACCTTAGGGGATTACAGCAGGGTAAGGAGCTCATTTGATCGATGCATTAAATTTAGTGTATCCATTCGGAATGGTGGTACACAACTTTAATCCCAGCACTTCGGAGGCAGAGGTAGGATCTCTGTAAATTCGAGGCCAGCCTCCTCTACGTAACGTAGTAAGTTCCAGCACACCTAGAGCTACACAGTGACGTGCCTCAAATCTCCCGGGCAAAAAGAAAAAAAAACAAGAGCGCACTAGTTCGGTTCCCAGCACCTACATGACAGCTCCAGTGTCCCGCGCTCTGACGCCCACTTCTGGCCTCCGCTGTCACTACAAACACGTGGTGCACAGGCATGCAAACATACTTTAAAAAAAAAAACCCACTCGGCAGACAGAGGCAGTCGGATCTCTATGAGTTTCAGGACAGCTGGAGCTATACAAGTAAGATCTTCTTTCAAAATACTAGAAATTAATAAAAAGCTCAGCGGGTAAAGACACGTACCACCAAGCCTGAGTAACCGGGGAGCTTCCCCTGGAAGATGGGAGGAGGGAACAGACCCAGACACAGTACTTTGCCCTCTACGCCTGGGAGTGCAGGAGGGATTCGAAGTTTTTCTGTAAACCCCACAGGTCCGGACTCATCCCGCATGACGGTGCCGCGCGTGGGCACAGCGTAAGAGAAGGAAACCATAACCACTGGTCTAGTGGAGAGTCGTCGAGGAGAGATGACCGCTCAGAGGACGCCGTACCAACCGCACGCGAACCACTCAGCGCTAGGGGGCTGGAAGCGAAGGACATGAGGGGGTGTGGTCTACGATGGCGGCTCCGCCCTCCGGAAGTCCTTTGCTCTGTCTAAGCCGGTCGGCCCTTGTCCTAATATGGGCATCCGGAAGTGGTTCGCGGCGCCGCAATACGTCACTACACCCAAATTTAGCCTGGGAAGTCGGCCCTGCTGCAGTGGCGGGAAGCCTACACGTTGGTGTGGGGGTGTTCCTTAAAGGACCAGCACAGCAAATGAAAGACAATATTAGAACTTTATCCTTTTGCAATTAGAATCAGTTTTTTTTTTTTTTGGCTCGTGGCACAGAGTGGAACCGTTGACTTTTTGTGTATCTCTTTATGTGTGTGCTGAGTGTGTGTGTGTGTGTGTGTGTTCGGGCGCGCGTGGGAATCGAACTCAGGTCGAGGCTTGGCAACCAGTGACTCTACCCACTGAACTCTCACAACGGCCCAGATATCTTTCTTGGGGTAATTCAGCTTTCCGGGGTGTGAAGGCAGGACACTTTGGTGTCGGCGGGAAAGGGTGGCAGGCCCTACAAAATTGGAACTTCCATGGCACCGCGTTGCGGGAAAACTGGAAGATGTATAACGCTGAGCGTGAGGACAGCAGTCTCGTTGTGAATACAGGCGATTATAGGGGAGCTCCCTTCAGGTTCAGCCAGCGTTGTCGGCGTCCACTTTCCACCCTTGTCCGGGAGGATCGAGACAAAAAGGCTGGAGGAGGCTTCAGTTGCCTCTTCCGCCGTAGTACGATCATTCGTTTGTTTAGTAAATATGGCCTCAGGTGTCTCACCTGCGGAGTGGAGGTGAGGGGTCAGAGACATTAAATAAGGAGAAAGCTCAACAACCCCGGCGTGTAGTAACTACTTAACGAGTAGCAGCGTTTTTACTGTTCCGAGAATATTAATTAGCTGGCCGGTAGGCGCGAGGAACAGTGCCCTCGGGGAATATACTCCGTTTCCGGTCTTCCCCACTGCAACGGGAAGATTACCACCCCACCACCCGTTGGTTAGTGGGTGGGCCTCATCGGCTGGTCCGCCCGTGAGTCTGAGAACCCAGACCAACCTGGGGTCTCAAGGCGCAGTGGGGGAAATTCTTCCTTGCCGGAGTTTAAGTCCATTCTCCTTCAAGGCGTAAATTTATTTCTATTTCTTTAAGGAGTCGCTGGCCACTGGAAAGCCCGGATGAGGCCTTCTGATTGGGCGTGGCGTCTCGGTGACGTCATCCGGACTATATTAAAAGGCTCCGGCACGCTTTCCCCCGCCGGAACTTCTAGCTGTGTACCTGACTGTATAAGTTTGTTCTCTGGGCAGCACCTCCTGTCTCACTCCATTCCCGGCTCTCCTCTACGTTCTCGTCGAGCAAGCATGGAAGTGCAGAAAGAAGCGCAGCGCATCATGACCCTGTCGGTGTGGAAGATGTACCACTCCCGCATGCAGCGAGGTGGCTTGCGTCTCCACCGGAGCCTACAGCTGTCCCTCGTCATGCGCAGCGCTCGGGAGCTCTACCTCTCAGCCAAGGTAGAGCCCCACCAACCCGAGTTCCCGCCACCCGGCCGGACCCTTGACCCTCGCCTGCACCCACCGCGGGAAGCCGAAGCCGCAGTGAGAGCTGCGCCCCCCGACGCCGAGCAGCCCCCGGAGCCCATGGACACGCAAGAGGAGGCGCTGCGAGTCCAGGAGACCCCTGCGCTGTGTGACCCGTCCCCCGCCAGAGTCAGCCGCAAGCGCCGGAGCAGCAGCGATCTGAGCGACGGCGGTGACGTTGGCCTGGTACCAAGCAAGAAGGCCCGTCTAGAAGAAGAAGTGGAGAGGGAGGAGACGTCGGAGGTCGCCGATCGCCTGCAGCTTCCTCCCGCACAAACCGAAGGTGCCTTCCCTAATCTCGCCCGCGTCCTCCAAAGGCGCTTCTCCAGTCTCCTGAACTGTGGGCCCGCCGTGCCCCCGCCGGCGCCCCCCGCGTGCGAGGCCAAGCCAGCCTGCCGCCCGGCCGACAACATGCTCAGCGTGCTCGTGCGAGCCGTGGTCGCCTTCTGAGGTTTCCGAGCGGCGTCACCGGAGCCGAAAACTCACACCCGAGGCCAGGGCCGGCTGGGGAAAGCCGGCGGCCCGTAAAGAAGAGCCGCGGCCCGAGCTGCCAGAGGCCCGGGGGAAGGACCGAGGAGCTGGCGGCGCGGGCGCCTTCTCCCGGACGTGCGTCTGCAAGGTGCTTTAACGGACTGTCCCCTCCCTGGCTGGGAGAAGGGACACCTGGATCTTGAATCTCAGGGTCGGACTCCCTTGGCCTGGCTGCCCTTTCAAGGCCGTTTCACTAGCCGACGCGTTTCGGCCCCTACAAGTGGCACACTTGTGCAAGCGGCCCTGGTTGCGTCATGGGGCAGACGCGGGTGCTTCCTGTTGCCTTGCGTGGGTGTGGGGCCTGGGAGGAGGCCAGGGTGTGGACCCGCCCTAGGGACTGGGAAGTGACTTGAGTCACCTCGCCCCCACAGGCTGCTATGGTTGAGCCGGCCTTCTGCTGAGAGCCTGGACTGAACCGAACAAATCTTTGTGCGGTCAGCGGAGCGTCTGGAGACCCCCGGAACTGTCAGCATAGACTGATCGCCCGGCGTGGACCAGGCAGGACTACTGGTCGCAGTTTCTGTCCTCGTCGGGCAGGAAGGGAATTTTTTCTGCCAGCGCGTTTATGAAGTCTGTTTACGTTTCCTATGGTGGGTTGTGTTTAACCCCCATCTACTTGGCGTTTTACAATGTCAGCTAGAAAAATAAAAGATCGTCCGAGCAAAGAACGCTGCTGTGTGGCTTGCTTCTCTGGAGGGGGGAGGGGCAGGGTTAAAGGGTCAGAACTGGCAACCGCTCCCTAAGCCTCAGGAACTGGTTTGACCAGGTGCCGAAAGGGAGACCGGGTCCCCATTTCTTAGGTTAAATTCCCAGGCTGCTGCTTAAGCTAATCCTGTGACTTGGGGGGGATTCCTTAGAAATTAGTATACACTCCGGGACCCAGCGAGTAGGGAAAGTTTACAACATTTATGAAATACTGGGTGCAGTGTTTGAAGAGAAGCTGGAGAATTTTAAATGATAGCGTTCTCTTTCCCTCCCCTCGACTAGAACGCGTGGAGTGGCGGTGACTGAACTTTGAACATGCCCTTATCCGATTTCTTTAGTGCCGCTTTATGGCTCAGGCTGATAAGTGAGTGAAGTGAGTGCTAACTTTAAGTTACCTATCTAGGCCGGGCATTGTGGCACATGCCTTAATCGAGCTCTACCTCTCAACTAAGGTAGAGAGGCCCACCAGCCTTTAATCCAAGCAAAAAGCAAGGCAGAGGCGGGCGGATCTCTAAATTAGAAGCTAGCCTAGTTTTCGTGGTTAGTTCCAAGTCCACGCAAGCTGTAGTTAGCCTTGATCCCGTCCAGCAGCTCGTTATCCAAACAACACACAGTAAACTAATTCCTCTCCTTTGGTTTCCGACAAGCTCTAGGCATAACCTAAGGGCGGAGCGGGGGTGGGGGGGCCTCGAGACCCTAAGGACAAAGGAACCGCAGGTGCGGGAGGCTTAAGGAAAGCGCGCCCGACAGCTGGCCCCTCCCCCTCGGGCCTCTTCTGACCCCGGGGCTGAGGCGGGAGGAGGGGGTTTGCGGTGGAGTGGCGGGCAGACAGCAAAACTCCCTGGAGCTTCCGGAGCATCCCAGCCCCCAGCCTCTCCTCGCTCCTGGGAAGTAAGGGTAAAAGCAAGCGCTACCAGGAGTCCCAGCGGAGCCCGGCTACCAGAACTCCTGATTCCTAGTTGAAAATCTGAAGGATCCCTAGCCTCGGTCACTAAGTCTAGATGCTTGAGTTCTCGGGGGCTCTTGGGCACACAGGAAAGTGGCCAGGCCTGGGAAGTCCCTGGTGGCTAGGGAGGGGGCCTTAGAGCACATCCTGTCCCAGGAACCGCAGGGCCCTTCCTTCCCTGGGAAGTGGTTTGTCCGACCCCCATTCTGACTCCGGCTTCCTGTGCCGCAGCCGCTGTGGGGTGGGGACTGAAGCCCTGTTCCCTACACGTGCTAACCTTTTCTTAGGAGGAAACCAGCTCATGAAAAACTGTCATTATCAGAACCTGTACTCCCAACACTTGAGAGTTCAAGTCTAACCTAGACTGTCTCATAATAAATCAGTATTAAATAGGGTGTGTGTGGTAACCCCAGGAGGTTCAAGGTCATTCTTCGCGGTTTGGGGCCAATCTAGATTCTATGAGACCTTTTTTGTTGTTGTTTGTTTTTTGAGATATGGTTTCTCTCTGTAGCTTTGGAGCCTGTCCTGGAATTCACTCTATAAACCAGGCTGGCCTCGAACTCACTGAGATCCACCTGCTTCTGTCTCCTCCCGAATGCTAGTATTAAAGGCAGGTACCACTACCGCCCGGCTGCATGAGACCTTTTGAAGACACTCAAAGCCCTGTGATTACTGAGGAAATGCTAGATGAGTAACCTTAACTTTCAGAAAAACTACCGGAAAGTCTCTCTGAATCATAAACACCCCTGAATCGGAAGCCAGCATTGCTGCTGAGGGAGGTGCTAAAGGTTCCATCCCCAGCATTACCCCCCCCACCAAAGTAAAAGTACAAGACTGTATGCAGGTCTGGAATCAGCCCATTAGTTTCAGTACAGGGCCTTTGTGTTTATTTATTGTAGAGGTGTATGCGCATATTGTGTTATTTTAAGACATACTGTCCCAGGCTGGAGAGGCGGTTTAGAGGCTGGTCCTGGATGCTTTTAATCCCAGCACTTGGGAGGCAGAGGCAGGTGGATCTCCATGAGTTTGAGGCCAGCCTGGTGTACAGAATGAGTTCCAGGACAGGCTACAAAGTTACACAGAGAAACCCTGTCTTGAAAAACCAAGAAAAAAAAAGAAGCACTGACTGCTCTTTCGGAAGGC